CGTCTGCGGGGTCCCCGCAATACCTCGGGAGACCCCTGCCGTGGAGCTCCGGCAAGGCCGGGAGGCTTCTGGGTGCGGAGACGCGGAAGAATCCTTAAACGGGGATCCCGCGGTTTCGCACTAAGCAGCTTAGAGGGTATTCGCAGGGTTTTTAGCGGATATTATGCCGTAAAGCGCCCGTAAGAGTTACGGGGTCCTCAGTGGGCAGCCACTGTGGGGGCTCGTAAGGTTTGCGGGAGCCAGGAGTGAGGTCCGTTCGGCGGTGTGCCTCTTAAAGGCGCCGTCGTCTGTAAACAGAGGTTTTGCCTGCGTCACAAAAAAAAAGGTACCTAACAACAAAATTCCAGTTGAAATGTTTAAATTTTCTCAATGTTTGTAAGGAACCTTGTTACCACAACCGACATATTTATACTCTATACTAATAATATTATAGAGAGGAAAGATTTGATTGTTTGTTTACCACTGGACTACTGGACCGATTGGAAAAAATCGTTTATATTTAGAATCCTACATTATACCTGATGAACTTGCTCTAGCATATTTTCAAAAAGTTAGTTACAATAAAGCTAAACCCTACCGCTAGTGGCTCAGTCAAGCTACTAAACGCAGCCACCAATCTAGTAGAGTGGGTACCACTAACTTACCTTTGTCGGCCACTAGTGGGTTGGTGGCGGCCACTCGATTTCTCTCGATTCGATTGCGAGTGGCTGCGATTGGCTCAATTTGCGTTTACTCTAAATACGCGAGAACGCCTGTAAAACGACTGTGAGTGTATGAGAGCAATGATGCTTTTTTGGTAACAATTAGAAAGTAGACATACACTTTAAAACAAAATAAGATCTTTTTCATAGGTCCAGCCTTCTATGATTAATAGGCAAACATATTATACATTAAAAAATAAATAAAAAGATGATTCCTTCAGCAAACCGGGAATTATCAGTGTTAGCGACAGTTGGTATTGAACAGTGGTGGATACGAAAGCTCGTTAAGCTTCCCAGAGTTGCGGAATATTTATAACACAAACTACTTAGGAACTAACTCAGTATTTGAGAGGTTGACTCAGTTTTTAATATCGTTGACACGTATCGCTAGTCGCGAATAAATTTAACTTGAAACTGCGTGTGAATGTCTGTAAATGTACCGTCAATGTGTACGTGACAGAAATGTTCTGAGCCGACTCTCTCCTTGGGCGAGCAGTAACGTTCTTTGCTAGCATAAAAGCCATTGATGGATAATTGATGGTGACTTCATGGGGTGGTAGGTTAGGTACAAAGTATGATGTATCTTTGCGTTTGAACTCTACCTACACTAAACATCAGTACCCTTAGTACGTGTTTTACAATTACGAAAACTATGATAGTTTTCGTGAGATCGCTTTCATACTAAGGGTGCCGATTTTATTGTTTTCGTTTCATTCTATCATTAAATCATTTGCGTCTTCTTAAATTTCAAGTACATTTGGTTACTTTTCACCAAAATGGACATAGAAACATAATTTACAATTACGAAAACTATGAGAGTTTGCGTGAGCTCAAACTCGTACTAAAGGTACAGGTGATATTTTAAAGAGAAGGATAGCGGATTTCTTGCTTGAATTGGAGCGCCCGTCTGGGGAAGTAGCCTCCACCTTACAGAAGACCACAGTAAAATACTTAACACTTCCTTTTGGTGGTGTTGTGTTCCGGTAGGTGAGTAAGTTGGTTCTGATTGCGTCGTTGCTCTCAGGTGTGAGCGCCGATTAGTTCGATTGTTTGACGTCGCGTCGTATGATTGGCTATTATCTTTCCAGTCTATTTTTTATTTATCGCAAGCGTCTACAGGCTATGTTTTCTGCTTAATACTATCAGACTACTAATACTAGCCATATGCATGTTTGCACCCTTTTACAATAAAAATTAAACAATTGGCATTTCATAGTAGCCCCAATTATATTTCTAGAGAGAAACTCAGTCCAGCGTAGTTTGTCCGGATTCGCGGCGCGGCGTGGATGTGAATAGCTCAGTTGGAAACTTTACTCAGCCCAACTACTAAGTTTGTCTCGGCAACCAAAGTGCGCAAGTGTTAATCCGTAAATCTCCGGTTCTATTAGTTAGCGTTTGTTTATCTTGAGCTTTATATCTTGCGGATTTCATAGAGATATCTACAACCTACAGTTTTGATTACTTTGTCCTTTTCATAATCTAAAGCCTTTACGCTTTATCATCAAAGGTATTAAATACGAAATACTTCGAAACTGTGAGGAGACAGATATAAGTAAAAGTAAAGTAGCGCAGTTTAGTACTAGCAGACAGAGTTTCTTTTTTTCAAATCTTTTTTAACGCTATGTAAGTATATCAAAAACTTATACGAGTACATAAAGCATTGTGAAGAAATTATAAAAAACCGGCCAAGTGCGTGTCGTGCCACGCATCGTGTAGGGTTCCGTAGTTCTCTGTAGTTACCACAATATATTTGAGCAGGAGTCTTTGTTTCCTACCGAAAATAAGAAAAACCAATTATAATATCTCTCAAAATCTCAACTGAAATACCTAAATCAAAGTCAAACTACGTCTTCAACTCGTCTACCTCCCAGGGGCAGGCGGGGGAGCGAGTGTGAAATCTTCATGGATACCCCACGGCCGGCTGCAAGGTTACGTCAGACTCTTACTGACTTCAACGTATCCGTAGTTCATGCTTAAGGCCAGAAGGGCCTTACATGCTTCATCTGAAGCAGTCATCCCCTGAAAAGGGGATAATGCGGTATAATCGCTGATATTTTCAAGTGCTTATATACTTTTTATAAAAACGTAGCGTTAGCGCGAATTAGAAGCCGTTGCCGTTGTTATTCGCGGTAGCATTGTGGATGTAATGATAATTTTAGGTCGTTTTTAAATTTTTTTTTTTAGATTTTGTTGCAATGCAAGATTTTACGCTACAATATCTTCATCTATGTCACTATTATTGTTTTCTTCTAAGAAATTTTCGTTAATCAAAGTTGAACGACTGTTACACTAACTAACAAATATATCTTAACCGTTCTTAGTTTTCCTTAAAAGATCATGAAAAGCGCTATTATCATGAATTTCTTCAGGTTTTTCCAGGTAGTTTAGCTTTTAGTTTTTAGAGGGGGAGCTACTCGTACAAGAATTAGCACTTTAAAGTTCAATATTTCGCAAACGGATCCTTAAATCGAAAAAGAGTCTCTTAGGAACCCCGAAGTAAATTTAAAGAACCTATTTCAGGATATCTCACACGGTGGGATAATGATGAAAAAAAAAATCATCCCCAGGTTTTATGTAGGGACCTACCTACCTAAAAAATAGTTTTCAAAATTTTATTCTACCATTTTGTCGGAATGATCGATATACATATTTCCACAAAACAACAGCTCTCTAGTGCTAATAGTCTCGAAGCAAAACCGGGGACGGACAGACAAACATGACGAAATTATAAGGGTTCCTTGTCAGGACTACGGAACCCTAAAAATGCAAACCTGAGTATCGTGGAACACTCGGTAAAAATGACGTTAAAAAATAAACAACACACAGTGCGAAACTGACGGTTGTGACGGAAAAAAAATAATTTTATTTCGCCTAGCTCCCTTCCGCGAAGTACGGGCCGAAATGGACTTCGTTCCAATAAGATTATTTATTAAAGAAAGAATACTGTTTTCCTATAATATTTTGTAATCATGTGGCACAAGGCCTCTTGTTTAAGGCTGTTACGGTGCGATTTACTACTCGTTCTTCTCATCGATGCATTGCTAGAGGAAGATAAGCATATCGCACCGGCCCGGTATCCGGTAATACAACGGTCTTCAACAAGAGGTTTAAGGCTCAAGCTTTTGCTATGAATATAGCACAGGCGTTAAGTTTATTTATGACTTAGGTATTTAAAACGGTTAAATGATTAGTTTAGTTTTTCAGGGCGGTTTCCGTACTTAGTCCTAATCATTGGACCATTGTGCGTGTGTCGAAACATTCCCGTTTACTCCAGTCAGCCTAAGTTAGTCCAGAAGGAAAGCAGCCTTGGCAGAATGCTGCAGGCTTCCGGAAGCGATGTTGGCGATTGGAGAAGTCGTGCCCATTGGCCGGCCACACTCCTGCATTCCATGATGGCATGCTGCGGCATTTCTTCTGCCTCCATACATCCTCGGCATAGGAGCTGTCAACAGACAGCCTAAACAAACACCTATATACAATAGAAGTAACAACTTCTATTGTATATAGGTGTTTCTTTAGGGGACAATGACGAGATCGTTGAAGGATATGAGTGTACGGATGAGTTTCACATACACATCACACACAGGCGACGGGATATTTTTTCAGGCAGTTTCTAAATATTCTCTCTCGCAAGTTTACTTTCTACAGAGCTCCACGGGCCAGGGAAATATGTTCAGACCAGGAAAGAGTTAGTTCAAGATGAGCAAGTACGCTATCTATCTATATATATAAAATTCAAAGGTGACTGACTGACATAGTGATCTATCAACGCACAGCCCAAACCACTGGACGGATCGGGCTGAAATTTGGCATGCAGGTAGATGTTATGACGTAGGCATCCGCTAAGAATTTTGATCAATTCTACCCCCAAGGGCATAAAATAGGGAATGAAACTTTGTATGAAACTTTGTCAATTTTAAACCGATCGGGCTGAGACTTTGCATGCAAGCATAAGAAGAATCATAGATGATTGTCATTGTGTATAATACAAGCCTGAGAACAAAAACTGTAGTCTACACTTCAGCTCTACACCGAAGAAAAGCGAGGCCGGGCCGGTAGTGTAATATATATCTCATCCGCTATATTTGCTACTGAAATATTGTCAATCTACTGTAAGTTGCTCAGAAGTAATTTCCTAAACCTTTTGTATGAAATGCATATTTGCTAAATATAAACAATGTATAGGTAACGTAAATTATGCTTACAGAAATGACTAAAATGCTGTTACTTGATTTTATAAAGATAATGAGTAGGTACGGATATAACTCGCAAAATAATCAATAACTAAGTAACTGATAAGATACGAACATGTTACCGTTTATCACATGCTACGTTGTTGTAGTAATAATGTGTATCTGAAGTGAATTGCAATACGTTTAAAAACAATAAATATGCAAGAATTATCTGAAATAGAAATGATACCAGCAAAGAAAAAACATTTTATTAAACTACACGAGAAGATCCAAACTAAATATATGGAAATGCAAAAACGTCTAGAGAAATCACGTTCAGTAGATTCTTTGTCTATAGCCAGCGATGACTTCAACTACAAAGAAAGTAGATATTCGAGCAATTGTGATCTAAGAGAGTCTGATGAAGTATCAGTGAACCTGGATGTAGTTTACAAAGTTGAAGAGCAACCAATAATAGAAGAAAAAATTATACAAAATGCAGTTTTACAAGCTGTTGAAGGTATAGACATACGTTTTTCAGACGGTGAAATCAGCATCTTTAAAGAAAACAACATCACAGATGAAGACTGGGAGAAAGTAGAACCCGATGAATATGTTGACTCACGTGCAAGTTTAGAATCGTAAGTATTTTCAAACTCAATTAAATTTTGAACGTTTGGTGATTTATGAAATCAGAATAATAAAACAAGTTATGTTCGGTTCTTAAATTTTGTCGGCAGCTTCAGCTGTCCTAAAAGTTTGCTACGTTTACCTTTAATTTTGAACACATAGGCCTAACCAATGCCGAGTGGCATTGCTATATCATTCTGTTTATGTTTGTAGTGTAATATCAGTTTCACATTGTAGCATATTTAATAGAGTAGTGGATCAGAATGTGATGATAAAGCAAGTTACTTCCCTTTAAACTGAGTTTAATGAAGAACATAGCATAGGGATATTTTTAGGATACCGTACACAAAGTGTTAATTCCTGTACGATGTTACAAAATCTGACCTATTTTTTTTTTTAGTTTTTACATAAGTACGACTAATGAAGTTCTGTTAAATTATACAATTGTTATTGAGAAACTATTGGTTTGCAAAATATCAAAGTAATATTTTACAGCTTTATACATATATGTGATTTCAGTGTACTTCTTATCTACCCAGCTAGAGTACCTGCTTCAATGCATTTGGTTCAACGTAAAAAAAGGGTTTAATTTTTTTTATATACGGATCTGCTGATATCGATGTCATAAAAAATTATCAATGCTAAGCTAATAGCTTTAAATGAGTCGTTTTAATATAAATTATGAATCACTCGCGGCTTTATTCGTCTTAATTTTATAGTAACGATTTCTGCGGATGTTTCCACACAAATTGTATTTTATAAAGTGTTAAGAGAACTAAGGAATTCGTAAAGCAAACCAAATAAACAAACAAAACAAAAGAACTTTGTAACAAAATATAAAAAAGTACACTTAAATCAGTAAATACCTACAGATGCAAAAGGTGATATTACTTTATGGCATTTAATTCATATTTTTCAATGATGATTTATATTGCTGATAGGGGGAACTACCTTTACATTTTCATTGTTAGTTTAAGTAGTTTCTACAAAAGATATGATTTGGTCAAAAGCATAATGTACGATAATATAAGCGAGTTAGCTGCTGCACAAATAAAAATGAATATTCTCTACTTCTTTCCTAAGCTCGAATTAATGTAATTCTCGAAATAGAATTCCCTACAGAAGGAAATGTTCGATGACCACCAGTATTTTAAAAAAGATTAAATTATTGTTTTTATTTTTTAATCATATAATTGCTAGATATATATTCTATATTCATTAAGTATATAACTGCTAGATGTTTAAATCTAAAAGAAATTTTAATTGAAAAAAAAAGTCCACGCGGACCATGCAGCTCGAACCTGCGTTTGAGTCTTGTCTGCTGCCGTTCGGATTGCGGAGGGTGCGGACCCTCCGCAATCCGAACGGATGCACTGACCTATTATGCTACCGCGGTCCTAATGGCCGTGTAGATTTTCTCCCTGTATTTCTTAGACTGTGAATTGCTAGATGTTTAAATCTAAAGAAATTTTTGCTAGAATTACTGCCACGCGGTCCAGGCAGCAGATGGGACTCAAAAATTATTTTCTAGTAAAATTTTCTTTAGATTTAATTATAAATTTAAAGAAAAGTTTTATATGGTTCTTTTAAGGTTAAATGAGATCAGTAAATACAATGATGATAGTTTGATTGCTCGTGAACCACCATCACGAACTATAAAAGACCGAATCGGATCACGTATCAGCGCGGTTAAAGAAAAACGAGAACAAAAACGGCTCGAAAAAGAGAGACAATTAAAGGAGAAGCAATTGAAAGAAGCAAGGGATTCAATAGAGAAAGTGGAAAAGGTGAATTGAAACAAATTCTATTTTTTTAAGATAGGTACCCATAATATTGATAAACAATAATTTTATTATATTTATCAACGGGATTGCTACCATGTACTTTGTTTTTTGTGAGTTTATCTTAATATGAACAATAATCACTCTGTCCTTTTTTAATTTCAGTTCATACTAAGTAACTCTGCGAAAGATATACCCCAAACAAAGACGAACAGAAAGAACAAGTTAGCGACAGTTACACTAGCTTTGATAAATGCAACGGTTGACGAGAGGTTGCGCTTTCTACAATGCCGATTTAGGTAATAAAAACGATTACGAAGTTTGTGATCTTATTCAGCAATGATTTTAACATAGAATTCATAACGCTAAATTTTGACATCGCAGTACAACAAATCCATAAGAATATTAATATCTTATTTATCTTAAAATCCGCTTTGAATAAGTTTGGAATTGTCCGCTCTATTTCGTACTGTTGGGTGCATTTTTTTGTTCATGTATTTTAGCACACTTTTTTTTTTAGATTAGGAGCAGAAAAATATAAATCAAAGTTAGTCAAATCAAATTCTCCAACGGTGAACTGGCAAGAGTTATTTAACTTGAACATGTATGAAGAGAAAGCAATGTTAGAAACCACTTTATGGGACAAAGACACATTTTTGGGCAGGTAAACTGAATTAATACTTCTTTTATAATGTTATATTTATGCCGGAATATCAACGTTTCTGATTTTCCATTAAGTTTCAAATGCAGTTTCATTCTACTTTTTATTTTAAAATATAAATGAAAGATCCTGCTTACTTTCGAAAGCTGTAATTATCGATCATTTAACATAGACTAATTTAGTAAGTAGTCCATTCTTTTAGACCTATTTTTAATTCTTGATCAGTCTTTCTGGAAACTTTTTAGTAATTATTAAATATATTTTTATAGAAACTATATGGACTTATCGGAACTTGAAAAAGAGAAGACTCATAAACTAAAAATCGATTTAGAAGGAGATAACAATATTGTCAGTGCGAAAGTGTTCATGTTGCTAACCATCAGTGGTATTCCGCTATTGAATGTAGTCACAGAAACAGATGATGTTAATAAAATTCAAAAAGCTTTAGAAGTAAAGAAAGATGTAAGTACTCTTAGAATCTTAATATAAGAAAAAAAAATCTAGAAAAAATTACATGTGATTGAATTGTAAAATTTAATGCTGCTCACACACAAAGACTAGACGTTTGTTTTCTAATTCAATGTGACTTAGCCTACTGGTAATACGGGTATATATACGCTGAATTCAGTCATTCTTCAAAGACGCTGTAAATAAGCGTGACATTTGTTGTATGCTCCCTTGAGAGGCTAAAGAAGTATCTTAAAACAATACTTGTATCTTAAAATTGGTTGACAAAGGCAATTTTTGAAGTTATACTTCTTTAGGCGCGTTATGAAAAATTGATGAGAGTGAAATTTTAAGATGCGCGCGCATCGCTGTAACACAAAATTTTAACAGCATGAAGTTGGTCGCTTTAGCGACCAACTTCATGCGTTACTTTTGTGTTTACCGCACATTAAGAAAATCTACCAACAAAATAGAAATAGAATCTCTATTTAGTGGGCGCTAACGACTGTATTGTGAAGGCCTATCAAAAGTATTTATTAATCTGGAACAACGGAACCAAAGCGCGATTCAGGAGACTACAGCGCCATCTCTTGACCATTGGTGTAGTAGAACCAAAAACCACATCTTTATTTTTTGTAATAAAGTAACAGTTATAGGTATTCATATTTATAATATCAAAAGTATTTATTAATCTGGAACAACGGAACCAAAGCGCGATTCAGGAGACTACAGCGCCATCTCTTGACCATTGGTGTAGTAGAACCAAAAACCACATCTTTATTTTTTGTAATAAAGTAACAGTTATAGGTATTCATATTTATAATATTTCTCCACATGTTTCTAGTTTGTATATTCGGAATACGTGTTTGAGTTTCATACAAGTGCAAATCACATATGTTCTAAAAAATTATATTCAGTAGCGATTTTAATTGAATATTTTGATTATTTATTTAATTTTTCAAATTAAAACTGAACTTTATTGACTGTGTCCTTTTCCAGACTTTTTATTAATTTATTGTAATTAATTATTTGCATGCAATTAAAAACTAATTTTAAACGATGCCAAAGAAGGATAACTTCTCACGCGCCTACATAAGTACACGCACCCATTTTTTTATTATCAGGGGAATAGTGTTAGTAGGGAGGATATATTCCTTTCCCAATCAGACTAGGTAGTTAAATGTTAAACTCTTAAATGTTTATCAATATTATTATTCTCCTGCACCCATAAATTATATATTAATTCCTTACTTGTGTGAATTACAGGCTTGGAATAATGTGGAAAATGACATCTTTAATGTAGGGTGGCTCTCTGTAGTTATATACGGAGCAAAAGGCCTCTACGCTCAGGATTGCTACTGCATGCTGAAATTAGTCAACGAAAGAGTTCAAACGCACACTGAATACAAAACGAATGATCCCAGTTGGATGAAAATATTCACTTTGTAAGTATGTGTACCTGAAATGGCTTTTTTTGTATTTAACAAGCTTTTATTAATATTTTTTTAATTCAAATTGTATTTCATGAATCGCTGTTTGATATTTTAAAGTGTGGTCTATTTTTGATATACGACCTACACTGGATTCACTAATAAACATTTAAAAAACATCGCCTAATGTAAACATCGCCAGTAATTAAAAAAAAATACTAACTGCGTCCTGGCAATAAAGAAAAACAACTAACAACAATATTACAACAACATAACAATCAGTCTAATTGGTCGAGCCGATCTCAAGGGATGCTCTGATAAACTTACATTTCGTATTAAGGATTTGATTTTTATTTATGTAAAGATTGAGAAAAATATAGGTATATTTTTCAAATCTATATACGTATACGTTTTGCTAGAGCTGTTTATATTAAGAATAAAATTAACAAGTGTAGTTCTGGATTTCATTGATCGTTTTCTCATTTTCCAGCCAATTAACTGACATAACATCAATACTAGAAATATCGGTTGTGGAAGAGAAGAAAGGCGAGGAAATAGGAAAAATCTCAATTCCCTTACTCCGGATAAGGGACGGTGCAAAAGTTTGGTATGCGCTCAAAGACCAGACACAGAGAGAGCGGGCTAAGGGGAATAATCCAAGGATACTATTGGAAATGGGGACCTCCTGGCATCTCGTAAGTTTAAATCTCCTTTAAGAAATATTTCTTTTGCATTCAAAACTGGTTTACTTTGAATTTTTGCGAGATGTTACACATATTTGTACACTCACAAGTGCAACAATGTTTTTCCAAATTACTCCCCAGGCATATCACGCAATTTGAGTAACTATGATACTTCAATAATTATATTGCAAGGACACTTTAAGGAGTAGTCACTGGAACACTGCACTGACTAGTATTCAAAGACGCTGTAATTAAGCATAACCTATGTCTTATGCACAGTTGTGAGCCTGGGGGAGTAACATAAAACAATACTGACGACTTAAAATTAGCTGACCAAAGTCAAGGCCCATTAATTATTAAAGGAATGATAGTAGACTTTAAATATTTCGCCTTCTGACATAAATCTATTTAGCGATATCGATTAAGTATTAAAAACAAAAGGATTAATCCAATTGTCGTTCGATTTCCGTCACGTTAGAAATTTAGGAATCTTGTAGGAATTGTTTAAACAGTTCATTTTATAGATTTGCAAGATAAAGAAAATTTAATTCCATATCCTTCCGTTTTATCGTTGATTAGATACAGAACTCTAGAATATTCGTATCGCAAAATCTGATAAAATAAACATCGCAAAATGTTCTAATTATATATATAATAATTAATATTTAATAACAGTGTCCTTATTGTTTTGTTTTATGTGTAGTCGGTCGAATTTTTTGTAGGTGCAAAATAGGTATTTGCGAAGCATCTTCACTAACAGATCTCTTATTAATTATGAAAAGTCAGTATGAATTTTTGCGAGACCACGTGAACAATCAATTGAATATTTTTTTGAAGAGCTCGATGGTACAAGTGCTTAGTATTATCTCGAGTTCCTCCATGCTTCGGAAGGCACGTTAATCTATTGGTCCCGGCGGAATCTGCAGTCGTTAGCACCAACCAATCTGCACTGGTGGGTCACGGCCAAATCTCCTTATTCCAACCTTGAGAATGGCCTATGCCCCAGCAGTGGCGACATTAATAGGCTGGTAACAATGATGAAGTTCATTTTATAGAAAACATCTGTTTCTAATTAACGCAAGTACTTTCGCGAAGGAACTTTCGTAAATGCAAAATCGTAGATAACTGTCGAGGTGAAGTCTATGGATTAAATATATTTTGACAAACAATAAAACTAAAATTATGTCTATATAACCTTTACTTTATTTTAGGCGAGAGCGGCTTTGCGAGTTATTAACCCTAAGGAACCGGACCTATTAGATGGTAATGTTAAATTGGATCGACGATTGTTTGCAAGAAATATAACGAGGGCTAGGGCGGTTACAAAGTGGACTTTGGATACACTGAAGCTTATAAAGTAAGGAATATGAGAATATTTTAATAAGTATTTTGTAGCTTACCAAGATCATTTAGCATTGGTTTGGTATATAAGGTATTACTGATCCATATATTCAGGGAATACTCTGCTTGCTGCTGGCGCATTAAAGGTTTTTCTTTCGCTCTCAATATGCTCTTTCAAATGTTGCCCACCCTAAAATTCCGAATGTTTAAAAACGACTTTACAGTTACCAATAAATTTAGATTGAATTTTTGTTCAAATGGAGGCCCAAAAATCCATTTAAAGCTTATTATTCTAATTTTTAGGACATGTTTTGAATGGGAATCCAGAAGATCCAATGTGGTAGCGCTAACGATATGGATAATATTTTGTTATTTCTTCAAAATATGGATGTTGCCTCTACTTTTTCTCATACCATTTGTCAAATATAGACCAGAGAAATATTATTTAGTGAATTGTAAGTAACAACTTTAATTTTAATATTAATTAACTTATACATAGATTATGTCCCTACCATGAAGATGGAAAATATTTTCTCATAACATGTTTCGAGCTATCATTAATGCATTTTTTTTTCTTAGGTTTTCACGCATATCACTCATTAAAATAAAAGTAGTTTTAACGGGTAAATGCACGAACTTTATTTATTTATTGACGTTTCGCAGCCTTTTCAGGTCTGCATCGTCAGAATAATGATTTTTTATTTACTTTGTCGAACTACCTTCGAAAGACTTTTATTGAGCGTTCAGATATTTCATTGGAAGATTTTTAAAACGTTATTGTCTATGTATTAATTTATTAGTTATTGACGTGACAACGTCTTAAATTAGGTTGCGGCTGGGAGTCACTTATGAAAAAGTGTAACGCTCGGTAACGTTACGATGAGTCTCTCGTGTTAAGTTTAAGTTTACATGTACAATGTTTTAGTAAACAAAATATATTTCTATAGTTAAAATTTTTGCAATTCTTATTTTCATTCAATTCCTTGTTCCTATTGTGCAATTTAATTATATTCATATCAATAAATATTCTACCGAGAAAAAGACGTTGTCACGTAAAATCTTCGCCCGTAAAACCGACTTTACAGGCAACCATTTTTTTAGTTAGAAAGTACTTTATTTAAAATTCTTTTTTGTAATTTTGAGTTTATTTATTTGACCCTAATTACCGTAAACTACCACTGGTTTCAAAATTGGGAGACCTTTTTGAGAAGAACCGGCGTAACAAACTCAGAGAGGCTTTCTATCTCCTTCTTATGTTAAATTATGCAAAATAAAAGAATTAATAGTATCTGTTAGTCTTGCAGTGTGTGCTCGGGGTTGGGATTTTATCTCTTTTATAATTAATAAAATCTTGTATAAATTAACTTATTTTTTTTTAAATCTTCCAATGAAATATCTGAACACTCAATAAAAGTCTTTCGAAGGTAGCTCGACATAAAATAAAAAATCATTATTCTGACGATGCACGCAGGCACACACAGCAGTTGTAATACTACCTAGGCTTGGCACAATTGGTTCCCTTTTATGGGGAGTCCAGCAAAGGACAATCACCTTGTGGGTACGTGGCCAGTCTCCTGTAGGGCACCACGTCACTACCCACACTCTCGACATGCATTAGGACGAACTCGGTTCTGATAGTGCGTCTCTGGTGACCGGTGTAGGAGTATTATCTGGATTTTATTGGATAGGGCCCTGCTCATTTCACTGAGCCTCTGGGTTGATATAGGCGGGAGGAGTCTTCAGATACCCTGTTCGCGCTACTACCGGTGGTTCAGGGAGGCGCAACGCCTTTCCCAGATATAAAAAGTGCCATGCGGTCTCTAGCGGGGTGCTCTGTGATTCCAGACAAAAACAACTATTGAAACAAAAAAAAACAAGATGTCGCTCTACTGAAGTTCTTGTTATTTTTTTCACCTAATTACAGGGAAGAAACTATTGACGGAGCCGAATAATGGTGCATTAGAATATGCCAAAATTGAAAAGGTCAGTATATAAAATCCAAAAATATATTACATTAGAATGAATCATACATTTTATCAAGCCGCATTTAAACGTCGTATTTCAACGTAGTAGGTAGGCGAGTATCAATAATTACTTGAGTAAAATTATACAACATTGACTCAACCCGTTTTCTAAAAACACAAAATTTTATATAAAATTATAAACCATTGCTAAAATAAACTACCTACTAACCATTAAGAGTTTTAAGTGAAAATATTTCATATTTCTAGGAGGAGAAATCTTCACTAAGGCAAAAAATAAACAATCTGCAAGAAATTTTGCAAACACTACAAAGTGGTATCGGAAAGCTAGCAAGTATCGGCGAAAGTGTGAAAAAGTATGTTGTACAATTTAAAGCAATGTTTATTTGTTTGGGGCGTTTCTTCGGTCGGACGCTAAACTGAAAGTCGAACTAAATATTATTATGGGTTTGAAGTTTAAGAACCAGTTCTTCATTGATATTTTATAGTTATGATCTCTTCGGGATTTGACCACTTCTTGTAAAGCCTGGTTCTTGTATGAACCATTTCTGTTTTTTACCACTTCCTTACTGAACTACATTTATCAGGTGTACAAAAACAAAACTTTTTATGATATATTCGTGTGAACGTAGCGTAACTCGACAAGAAGTAACCTATAAATCATATTATCATCAAATCAGTCACATAACTTCATAGATTGTTATTTTTTTTGTTTTCAACTTATTATTTTCTTATCTTTTTGCACGCTGTACTGAAAGTGACAAAAAAAATGGTCAAATCAAGAAAGAGTCATATAATGAGGTAGTCTTAAGCAGAAGTGGTCAAAACCAGAAATGGTCGTATGCAGAAGCAGTCGTTTCAAGGCGTCTCCATAATCAATCAAACCCATTATTAGTAGAAAAGTAGTGAAATTTTTTAATCTCAACTAATATTATAAATGCAAAAGTGAATTTGTTTGTTTCTTAGGAATTCTCAGTTTGTCTTCTTTTCAGTTTGTGTAACTTCACGGTGCCGTTTGTGAGTCTCCTGGCTGTTGGCATAATTTTATTAACATCATTAATTATGTACATCATTCCACTTAAATACATCCTAATCTGTTATGGTAAGTGAGAGTAAAAATTATCAGTCTTACCACAAAAAAGTTAGACACGTTTCAAACCTTGATAACCTTTAATTAAACATATGTATTTTTTTTATTAAACTCATGTTGAACGCACGTCTAACTTTTTTGTGGTAATAAGGTATATGTTTATTGTTTGTCCTTATTACCCTTATACTGTTTATGACAGGTAATTTGTAAACACAGAAAAATAGTAAAGTACTAGTTTATCATTGGTCTAAATAAAAATCATCAACACGTCTTAATCGAATATTATAATAATATTAAATGTTTATTTTAGGCAGACTAAGATAACCCATATTGCAATTGCAATCTGTCTCTTTCTTATACTTATACTTTAGATAGTTGTATGACAACTTGTCAATTAATTAAGAAAATGATCTTATAATCAATACTGAATTCTCACTCACAAGTTGTAATTGTGACTTGTTTCCGAGTCATCATTGTTTTCGAAACATAAACACTGTTTTCGATTCTTTCTCTTTGTTTAGTTTGAAAATTGTGGATGTAATATTATAATTATTTTATAGAATCCGGAATTTATCATTATTCATTTTGTTATTATTATTCAGGCAAGGGAGCGTCAATCGCGAAAAGTAGAAATCGTCTATTGGCTATGATAGCTATTTTTCATCAAGCGGCTCTTAGGAGCAAATGTTTTCTGTATGAACAGATTTGCAAACAAGCATATATGAGTCTCGTCCCATCCGGTTGTTTGCCAATTTATTCACGTACGTTTTTTTCCCAAAAGTGCCCGAATCTATTGATACAGAGGGGTGTGGAATATACGGCGAAAGGCCGCGATTCAACAAAAGCATGAATCTCGGCAAACACGCTACTATATTCCAGGCGGAGGTATAGGCCACCATAGAATGTGCAGAAGCCAATCGTCAACGAAACTACACAAACCAGGCCATATATATCTTTTCATATAGCCAAGCAGCGCTTGACGCCATTAACTCGAACACCATATGTTCAAAATTAGTGAACGATTGCGTTGATAAACTGAATAACCTAGGTCAAAAGAATAAAGTTATTTCTAAATTGGTACCAGGTCATTCAGGGATAAACTGCAACGAGAAAGCTGATGAATTAGAAATAACAGGGGCACAAGGGCAACAGATGGGACCAGAACCTTTCTGTGGCATCCCTAGAAACCATGCTATGCAAATTCTTAAGGACGACTTCTAAGCGAATCGAAAAAATACTGGTTAAACCAACCAGGATCAGAGCACGCTAAATCACTAATAGAGGGTTACTCGAAAAAACTGACTGTTAAGTTAATAGAACTTAGCAGGCCGAACACCTGTGCTATCGTAAAAGCCTTAACTGGACACTGCAAACTCAAAAGATACTAATTTCATAGGAAATTGAGTGACACTGACGTTTGCATATACTGCAATCAGGAGCGTGATACACCAAAACACCTTCTATGTATTCACATAACTTCATAGATTGCTCACATTCGTGAGCCTCTCATCCACAGTAGTAGTATTAATTTGTGAAGATAATTATATAATACGTGAAGAGGAAATAAAATCTCTAAAAGTTAAAAACATTTTGATCTTCTTGGAAGCTGTCGGGGGATAAAACAGATACTTTAACTTGGCGGCGAGTCACAATAGATGTTATAGGTCGCAGTGGCTACAGTCCCAATAGGACTGCATAGCCCCAAAAATCCCAATAATAAATCGTAACCGATCAAGTCTACCTTTTATGAACAGCTTGACCGATGTTAGACGCTGTTGAATTCACCTTATTTATTAATTGGCAGGCAAATGGAAGTAGGTTCCATTCTAACTTTAGAGATATTTTTTATCTTGTTTATTTTATTTCAGGTATCCATAAATTTACTAGGAAAATACTTCGTCCAAACAGAATACCGAATAATGAAATCCTGGATTTGTTGTCTCGAGTGCCGGACGATGAGACCTTGGTAATCTAGCTATATATTTAATAAATGCTTATGTACAGAGTTTTCCAATAGGAACAAGGTATATTTGACAGCCCATGATGGACACATAAGATCGTCTATTGGCGCATTTTTTTGATGGATACATTATTAAAAATTCCGCATTTATTATTCCAGTCGCAATACAGTTGAGCAACGTGTTGAAATCATTAAAAGCATTGTCAAAACAGTAGTTCAATTCATCAAACATTTCGTACGATATGGGAAACTTGTGTCAACTTAGCCGTCTTAAGAAGACACTATTCTTCAAATAGTGAAATAATTCTTAACTATTGGTTCTGGCTTTAAAATCTTTAAGAGATTCATGAAAGGCCTAGGAGGATTCCAAAAGAGTGACATTCCACTATCTGATACGTATTGTGAAATTTTGATCATTACTGGATCAGTTAGATATTTTTTTTTCAATTAAAAGAAATTGATCCTGATTGAAATTGGTAATTGTTATTAATCTAGACTAGCTCACAAACGCTGGTGTTATGCCGAGTTTAGATACTCATCCCGTCGCGCTATAGAACTTAAATAATGAAATTGTGCTGTATACCACAATAAGCGATAACTCATATATTGCAATCCATAATGTTACAACAGGTGTGTTTACGCATCCATTCTCGAATATACTGTTCTAGAGTCCATTTGAATAGGATTGCACTTCGCACTAGCGATCTCCACCTTTGAAAGCAACTCCACGAGGTACGCTATGAGGACAGAATGGGCAATGCAAGATGGATACTGGTTTTTTTTTTGTTAAAAGGGAAGCAAACAAGCGTATGGCCCGCCAGATGGTAAACGGCCACCATAACCTATAGACGCTTGCGATACCAAAACTATCACTCGCACCGTTGCCTACCCTGACCCAATCCCCTACCCTTTGGACCCACCGACAGAAACACAACACCATCAAAATGTAATGTTATTTTACTGTGATCTTTTATAAGGTGGAGGTTACTTCTTCAGACGGGCTCTCCAATTAGAGCGGCAAATCCGCAATGCTAATTCTCGTTACTGCGTTACTGTATGGTATCGCAACGTCTATATGCTGATAGGGTTTTACTGATACTATTTTTACTAATCACTAAAAAACATTATGGTATTTCTACCAAGATTTCTACGCACATCAATCATTTTATATAACACTTTTAAACAGTATATATTATCGTTATCATCATCATCGTATTTATTACTTTGAAACTTGAAGAAAACAAAAATCAAAAAATCTATTTTTTTTTATTCTAAACAAGTTTACTCATAAGATATCATTAATATGTTATATCGTCTTAAAGATCCAATAATAATTTCACTAATTTTCCCATTGTTTGTTTTCAGCTCGATTGTGAAGAACTGCTTTTGGAAAACATTTCCGATGAAGATAGCATATTGTGATAAATTCAATGAGTTTTAATAATCCATCTCTTTAAAAGATTATGACACGATCTGATCTCTAATTTAACTTTACAAATACTTACTTACATATTTTAGTCAATCTAGTAGAAATAAGTAACATGACAAGAATACTATATTATTTTTATTACATTTTAGGTGTATTTGTCGAAGTTTTGATACTTTTTATTAGTATATTTATTAAATGACTTTAAACTTGCATTGTTTTGTTTAATTATTACTTCTTTAGTCTTGAACTAAAAACTGTTATTAAGTCCATGCCTGTCACAATATCGTAGGTGGAAATCATCAAAGAGCTCATTTCCTCCCTTTGGATTTAATTTTGGAATCGAGATAATCACTGCAAATCAACTACGTGTTTCAGAGGCACTTCCTTCCTCCCAAGTAAAATGAGACCGCGGAATAAGCTCTTGATTTTAGAGAGGAAATAACTACTTCCTGTTTAGATTTTATTGAGAATACAGCATGGGTTTCAAAGGGATGTCAAGCTTCTACGGTGTCGCTTACCATCGGCTAAACCGATTGCTTGATTGTACAACCTGATTATTATAAAAACAAGTCGAAAGTACACCCGTGCGCTCCGGCACGGGTGTACTTTCGACTTGTTTGAATTTTGTTGAAAATTTAAAATCACAAAAGAAACGTAACCACTTTAGGGCACAGCAAATAGTTCATCATCGACTTAGGTCTAATGTGTTTTAATCTATACTCAAAGAAAAGCAGAATGGCATAAAAACCTTGACGTTCGATTTATATAAAAAATCACCTTTACTTAAACTGCCTGCCCAGAGTTGCTACTAGAACAAACAGCTGTATTGGATTGGAAGGTACTGTAGTGGAATTTGCTTCCAACGACCCGTTGACAAAAAGTAAATTAATATATAAGGATTTTTTTTGGATACTGAAGAGAGATTATGCTGCCGACTTCAAGTGTGCAGAGCTTTGAACCAAAAATGTTTCTAGTCGACCATAACTATTTTATATGTCTAATCGATATAAATATCCCAGGAGCCTATCACGTATTGCAAACCGAGTCTAAAAACCCCAATCAATTTACTCCCATTCATTACATGGCAAGCAATTTGCTGTTCAATAGTACTTGAAATTACAGAACCAACTTTAATTTCATTATCATTAACTGTGTTATTAGCTTTGTAAATAATAGGCAAGCCCATCATTTAACTTCAACCGTTATTGTGAAATAGCGTGTCTGATTTGCAACTATCCTTAATAAACGGGCGAAGGTCCGAGCCTTTAGAATCACCTGATGATTAATTGAACTAAATTTTTACAAAAAATATTAATTTTCTTTTGGGTATGTAAGTACTAAGGTAAATATTTATTAACGAGAGTATTGAAGCACGAATTAAAACTTCTATTGAGTTAGAAATTACTTAATACAGTGAGAAAGTACTTTCTCACTGTATCAGCGCTGGTATTCTAGCAGGACCTGGGCGAGGTCGCTACAACCAGCTCAAATAACCATGCAAAGTGCATCCCACAGATTAATAAATAAATTGTGTATTAATCTTTATATATATAATTCTTCTGTAAGTGTGTATGTCACTGAACTTCTCTTAAACGACTGGACCGATTTTGATTAAATTTTTTGTGTGTGTTCAAGGGGATCTGAGAATGGTTTAGATTCAAATTTTGTCCGCTGGACAACCCCTATTTTTTTAGGGCGGTACGAAGTTCGCTGGGTCAGCTAGTATTGTATATAGTAAGACAGTATTCTATCCGTTACCCTAGTATCCCATAACACAAACCTTACAGTGCTTTCTTTGGGGCTAGGCTAATTGGTGTGAGTGTTGGAAATATTTATTATTAATATTATATAATTTTTATTTTATTTACTTAATATTATAATATAGTTTTATTTACACGATTTTTAAATTACTCAGGTAACTTAAAATTCACGGTGTTGAAAATGATTTCAACTCCATAAATATTTAATTAAGCTTTATGGAATATCAAACCATTAAGATCACTTGATAGTATCAATGGGCAACGCAGGGACACCAATGAAAACTCCAGGGGGACGGCCCACTTCATATGTCAACATAGAATGATGAACTGGATAACGTTGGTCAATTTGCATCCGAAATACGTTAGTCCCCTACCAATCGGTCTGTCATTCCTAGGCGATATATATATATGGTTTTTGGTATTTAATTTCCCTTAACGATATGCGTGTTTGATAGGGACTGAAAGTGGTGATTCTGATAAATTATTAGCCAAATCGGATGAGTGCTGCGGTTAAGAGTTCTAGGCCACCTGAGGTAAAATTTGATCCCGATTTTAAATTGAAAGGTAGTTTTTGTGTGTTTTTAATTAAATATAGAATTATATTTATAAGCAGCGGTCGTGACCCCCTGCTGGAGCAAATTGTGCAGCAGTTTAGGTCGGTTGTAGCATTATATAATTTTTGGCCCTGTACATTGATTAAAATGTAGTTTTAATAAAAAAAACATAAAATTACAATAAAAATGTTGTTTTATTAAAAAAAGGTAAGGGAACAATTTAACCCCAGCTATTTCAACCCCGTAAAATTTTGGAATTGCTATGAAACGCTATTTAGAAGAAACCTAAGGAGGGAGACACCGCAATATGTTCCACGATGTCACAATGTACGTTTTCACTTCAAATAGCCTTTGAATATAATAAGAATCACGAAAATACTAATATAAATAGAAAGATAGGAAGTCCTTATTTACTATCTCTAGGTGGTGTGTGACAGCAATTTATGAGTTAGGAATCGCACTTCGTGGATAGGAGCAGTGTACGGCATATACAAGTATACTGATTTGACAATCAGCTGCTAGTTTAGTTGAATGCAGTGCTTGCGTTTGTTTAGGACTTAGGTACGTAAGCAACTATAGCTGTTTGATCAAAGACAGGACCATCAATTTTGATAGTCAATAGTCTTATTACCTCGCTGTCATATACAAAGCTCCCATGATAGTGAAAAGCTTAAAATATTCCCCGAGCGATTGACTAGTGCGCATTGGCTTATTAATTTGTAGTATAAGTTTTCAAATAACATTATAATGATAAAGAAAAAGGTCTTTGTGATATTAATTACTAATTTGAAAGAAAAAACTATCAGTTTTTGTATTTATCTTTTCTAAAATATATTTTAATATCACATTCATAAAGTTCTACGTCAGTTACAACTAGACCACAAAAACATTATCTCATTCGAGTTTCGGCCACTCTAACATACATATGTTTACTCTGCACTTAAAATTAAATCATAAATTAATAATTAATCATAATACTTAACATATTTTATATAATCACAGGCCGACGGGTATATATGATGCAATTTGTACGACGAATGCCATAGTAGTTATATTTAGACTATTAAATCTTTGCCGAGCCTTTCAAATTCGTTGGCAAAGTAAACCATATCCTTGTGATCTAACGCTGAGTTTTGGAATACGATGCGGAAAAAGTTCACGAGGTCACCCTGAGGTTGGTATGTGACCATCATGCTTCCTTCCTTTATCATGCGCTCTTTTATTTTCGGCGCAACCTTGTGCAGCCTTTCTTTGAAATCTGGTTCGTTCTCTAGTCCACGAAGACAAGTGGGTTCATACCAGAACATAACATTGGTGCACTCGGGCTTGTCCAAAACTAATTTGAAGCCGTCCCTTTGACGGATGTGTTCTAAGAAAAAGTTCGCATTGTCGAAGAGTGCGTCAATGTGTTTCTCGAAACCCTCGGTACCTTTTGCCTTCCACATGAACCAGAATTTCAGTACGTCGGCGCGTCGGCCACACTGAATGTGTTTATCACCTGTATCGTACGTGGAATCGTAAAACTTGTCTTTTTGGAAAAGATATTTTGCGTTGGAGGAATGACCCTCCTTAAGGATGTTCTTGTGCCTGATGAGGAACGTGGAGCATTGCTGCGGTGCGGCTAATAGTTTGTGTGGATTCCACGTCACCGAATCAGCCCTGTGAATTAAAATAGCACAATCAAAAGATTTAATACGTACTTTCTTTTACTGCGTTATCATTGGAGATTTAAATGGATGACTACATTTTAGCAAAAAAAACTTTGGAGGAAATCTACTCAAATCAGTTGCCTTGAACTTATTATAACCTGCATGTCATTCTTTACTTTGCTTTGATCTTAAATTTTTTAATTAATCTTTGATGAGCGAAAAATTAAAACACAAATGAGCTTGTAAAAATCTAAAAACTGAACAAATCGCAAGGTAACTCAGTTTCAAGGATTTATTTACGCAACAATCGAGATTTAAAACTGTGATATCCATGCATGTTTAAAGTGTTAACATTTTAACTAATAGAATACCTTATTTATAAATGCAGATAGTACTTAATTATAAATTATAGTGGCACCTCGACTAGCATTTCAATTAAAAACTAAACTACTATTTAGGTAGGATTAAATTTGTAATTAAGTTTATTATGATTTATAATTAAGTTCATTTACTTATTATAAGTTGAGAAACTTGAAACAGAAAAGTGATACCTATAGTTGGTCGATTTTTACAAAATTTGGGACCTACTATGGTTATAACAAAAATAGTTTGAGTTTATATCTCCACGTATTTCAATCACAATTGGACCTAATAAGAAACTTAATTGCAATTACTCACATTTCAATACCGCTTAGGAGATGTCTGTGTTTCTTTGACATCATTGCACCACCTCCCCAAGCAGCGTCGACGTGAAGCCATAGATTGTATTTCTTGCATAAATCCGATAGTGGCACCAGAGGGTCAAACGCTCCAAAAACAGTAGTACCAGCAGTAGCAGTCACCATAAACGGTGTAGCTCCATCATCCAAAGCTTTATTGATCTTAGTTTCTAGGTCTGCTAGATCCATCCGACCGTATTTGTCAGCTTTTACTAAAATGCAATTGTCACTTCCAATACCCATGAAAGAGGCCAGTTTTGGTGTAGAATAATGTGCCAGTTCTGATGTGAATAAAACTAGTTTTGGGACTGCGTAGACACCTTTTGTCTGTAATTAAGTTGTAAGAAGAAAATAATTAAATTAATAGTCATGATAATAGTCTACAGGCATTTGGAACCCAGCATAGGTATTCTGTAAAATCTCACTTTCGATCTCATTTATTCGGATTTATGACAAATGTCAAATATCTAATACTGGCTGCTTCTACAGACATATCGACATTTTTCCGTGTAATGGCGTAATGCATATCAAAATGGCATCTACCGAAATCCGAAGTAACATTTATTTTACAGAATCGTCCTACTGGTCGATAAAAGCTTGAATTTTGTAGTGGTTATAGAAAACGTAACTGTAGTTGAGATAACTAAATAATTGGTAAAAGTTATCTACTCATAATTTGTTCACATAAAGACATATTGAGTAGCTCGATGTCGTGAGTCGTGTCATTGTGGATGCTAAGTTTTTGCAACGATCGGTTATCGCCTCATCGGATAAGTAGCGTAAAATATACTATCTCGAGCTCCTGCGTGCTTCGAAAGGCATGATAAGCCGGTGGTCTCTGCTGAATTTGCTGTCGTTAGCCCCCATCAATCCGCATTGGGCCCGCGTAGTGTGTCCTAGCTGATTCGCCATCCATAGGGATGGCCTGTACCAAACCCCAGCATTAATTAATATTAATTGACGTTAATTTTATTAATAGGCTAATGATAATGATATATGATATGATGACACATAGGTACCTATTTATATTTCTTTAACTCAGTTGAGAAAATTTAATGGATATATTTAGTATTTTTTGTAAATCTATGGATACTATAAATAAAAAAAAATCAAACGAGCTTCATTATTATTCAATACTACTTATGTTATTGATTTAATTCTTTCTGATAATTGCTAATTAAATAAGGGTGACAGGAAAACTCGACCTATTCCTTGAAAGAATTTATACTAGAGATCATTAGCAACATATTAAGTCCAGTGAACTAGGGGTCAAAACTGGATGGTTACCGAGTTGTGACGGTTCTTCGATTTTTAAGAATCTTTCTCGTTACCAAAAACCATTAATTGTGAGTAAACTACTGCACACTAAACATTGAGTTGATATTTTTCTGAAAGCTGAAAAATTAGTGATTAAAAAAAAAGCGCTTGCCCAAAACTAACATAATCTTTGTACGTGAAATTCCATACAGTTATTTTTTTAATAATTTACGGCGAAGTTCAGAAAAAAATTAAAAAATATAAATTATTGTTACTTATATCCTTTTATTTCTGAGATCGTGTAAGTTTTGAGCAAGCGTTTGTTTTTAAAATGATCATCTAATTTTTCAGCTTTCAGAAAGGTATCATTTCAATGTTTAAAGTGGAGTAGTTTATTCACAATTAATAGATTTTGGCAAAAAGTCAGAAAAAATCTTAATAAATCGAAGAACAGTTTTGACCCTAGTTCACTGGACTTAATTTGCTGCTAATGACCTCTAGTATAAACCCTTTCAAGGAATAGGTTGAGTTTTTCTGTCACCTGTAGAGCGAATTCGTCAAGTAGTTTAAGCCAACATTTTTTTTAACTTAATCGTGATCATGGCGCTTGCAACAATGCCAAAATATCGGAAACTCGCTAAAAACAAGGTACCTACATGGTAACAATCCCATAAATAACGTATATTACTATAATGTTATTGACCATGAAAGTTTACATAATTGATTCAATCCTTTCGTGTAAGGTCATTTTTCATTGATACAAATTAAAGTGTGATACAATCTCAGAACTTGAGAAGTAAAGTTACTTTGAATAAAAAATACATTATTTAAGCAATTATTTCTTAAGGATGACTTTCTTTGAAAGTAAAGAACATCAGAAGCAGACAAATTCTGTAATTTGTGTGATTCGTAATCTGATATTTTACTCAGAAGTTGATACGTCGATGAAAAACCAACGAATCTCTAATTTTTATTGATTTATACTTACATTAGAATCGTATTCAAAATTGATGAAACTTATATTTCTTTTGAGCAACTTTTATCTTTTTTAATAGTTTCAAAGAATCATAAATAATAATTTTCTTATATCCACTGATCATCATAACATCAAACGCAAAAACCGTCAATAAATTTATAATAATAATTTTGACGACCTCTGTGGCCGAGTAGTTTGTACGCCGGGTTTCATGGACGACGATTTCGCCGACTCGAGAGGTCCCGGGTTCGAATCCCGGTGGGGGCAGATGTTTGTGTGATGAATACGAGCATTTGTACTCCAGTCATGGTTGTTTAATATGCATTTGTATATAAATATACTTTTAAATGTACTGTATATGTATTCTATCCGTTACCCTAGTATCCCATAACACAAGCCTTACAGTGCTTACTTTGGGGCTAGGCTAATTGGTGTAAGTGTTTGAAATATTTATTTATTTAATAAATCGTACTTAGATAGGGAATGTTTAACACTTATGCTATACAATTTTTCATCTCATAAATAACTAAATGAGGTCAAGGTCATGGATTTTGAAGCAAGATCAGCGCTTCAAGAATATTTGTAACACGTGTAAAATAATAATAAAAAATACGCAATTAAAAAGTCCCACCATAGGATTAGTTACTTAAATCGTCTTATGAAAACAAAATATCTTATAAGAAATGAAAAATGAGAATTTTCTATAACTGCTGCCGAGCAAAATATTTGAAAGTACACAATTACACTGAAATAGGTAACTGTTATTAACAACATGATTGCTGCAGTAACTGATTACTTTGATTCAGATAAACGAATTCCAAGTACAACCAAGGATGCTTAGGCTGTGCAGGCGCTACACGCGATTTTAATAAACTTCGAATCGGGGTTAAGGCGAATGCCGTGTGTTAAGCTTTATTACATACATTTAGCATTAAAAAAAGCGGAAATAATAAATATTGATGATTTGATAAACATAATATTTGCCAAAAATATTCAAAATAAACCGTAATGTCTACTCAAAATATGATGAGGTGTATGATTAAGATTGTACGCATTTTAAAAAAAATGAAAAGTGAATGCTAGATAAATAAGGAAACCATGCAATAATTATTTCGTCGACACTAATTTCCGGCAGCTTCCGGCTGTTTAAGTAATTGATTTCCTCGTTAAAACTAGTGCTGCAGTTTGCACGTGTTGTTTGATATAGTTAAAACCATGGACCATACTAACCTTGATCTCTGGGTAGTAGAAGAATCGGGCACAGCTTATAGCATAGCCGTTCGCGATGGAACCTCCTGGACAAAATATTCCATCTCCGTCGCCGTTATGCCAGCCTACTATAGACCTCATTTCACGAAGAACCTCTTCCTCCATTAAAGTGAAGACGGGGGCCACTTCGAAGGTGTAAACGCTAGGGTTCAAGGCATCTGTCAGCCATTGACCAATCAGACCGTAAGGGTCAACAGAAGAAAACAGCTGGTTGACGAAGTATGGATGAGCCGTATTAACGGAATAACGCGCCACCTGTTGACAGATATTGAGAAATTAAATTCGCTCTCGAGATTTCGAAAGAAATTCTGCAATCGAATTCTTTTGATTACATATAAAAAGGTATGAGGTCAACTTGAAGTATAAACACACTTTTAACCAATTTATTTCAATCTTTTTTACACCTTTCGTAGCATAAAGTAGGTAAGTTAAGATATTTTTGTTCTTATTAAAGGCTAATTGAATTGACGTTTTTGCCAAACTGGCATAACATTATATTTTTGATAGCAGCCTAAAAATATTATCACCTTCAAACGTTAAAAATAGGAACTGTATTAATAAACGTAACTGATTTATTTTCATGTTTGCTCCGTGTCTTAAGGTGAAATTCTTATAAAGCTTACTTTTTGTTGTATTTTGTTTTTATTGAAGTTTGATTAAATTGCTTTTGTGGGACTAAAGAGCTATGAGTACTTATTTAGCTGATTTCAAATGAAGTCCACGAAAGCTTTTTGGATAAAAAAAAATGCATTTTAGTAGCATAGTACACAATAAATACAGTAGGTATCTATCTGTGTTTAAAATTCTAAAATTCCGTTTATAATTACTTATCACAATAGGAATGTATTAGGTTAAATTAAATGCAATTCTATTAAGTCCGTCAGTCAGATTATCAAAATATAATGGACACTTACTTTTTTTTTGTCAATTAACCAAAAAATTACCAAGTTAAAGCGCGTCAAAGTTTGGGAGTGTAGGCTCGTGACATCACTTCTAAGTAAAATTATACCATGACGTCGTGCCACATTTCAAATCAATATATATATATGTCTGTAATGTTTTGATTATGTGAATAAAGAAAAAATATGTGTCTAATAGTTTTTGATAAACCACCTGACAGACGAAGAAAAATAAACTTAGTATCCCTATTATTTTATCCTAGTATGAAAATAAATCTTAACTTTAAATAAGATTGAAGATCTGAGATCTAATTATGAAAATTAAGAACAGGACACAGGGTTTTGATATTTAAAGTTTTCATGAATTTTATCGTATTTTATTCTGTATTCATTTTATTTATATTAAATCCAATAAAAGAAATTGTCATATCTTCGAGTCATTGTCGTCATATATAAAAACTGGCCAAGCGCGAGTCTGGCCTCGCTCCATTAGAGTACCGTAAAATCATTGTATTTTCATTATATACAACATATGAGACATAATATAAAAAAAATAACATTGTTACTTAATTTCGATTTTGAGAAAGACCCCGTAACAAAAATGGTCTAAAAATTAAAAAAATATATTTATTTTTAATCTACTCAACGAGCTCTAGATAAGGATGTATCGCGTGCTGGGGTAAACAAGAAAAAAAATAACTTATTAAAAAACACTTAGTCCTTTCATGTATCCCCATAAAAAATAATTGAATTGAGTTTTTAAATAAATATTTGCCTTTGGGCAAATAATTTACATAAAATACCAAAATATCAGTTCTGTAACTCATTCTTTTTACGATCTAGAGACCCGTGACATACGGTCGGACAGACAGGCGACAGAGTAACAGCATGGGTTCCCTTTTTACCATTTGGTTATGGAACCCTAAAAATAAACAGACTTAACCTAGCCTATTCTATGAAAATCACAAAATCATTGATTGATTAAAACTTAAAAAAAATAAAATAAAAAAAACATCTAACAGTTAAAGCTTAAAATGAAATTATAATAGATCATGGATTGATGTCACTATTTAAATCTTTATTTGTAACCGTTCAGTTCCAGATGATCGTAAAATGCTCGTGCTCGAATTATAAGGAAACGATCATTAGACTTTAACTACATAAAGAACAAGTTTTTTAATTTTACCACCTTTTTTATTTTATTTTCTACAAGCAAAATCCAAATAAAAATCAGAGCGAAAATACTTACATCAGCCATAATGCCTAGCAATTGGTCATGCGACGCCGGTCCATCTCTTGGCTTCAGGTCGATTGCTTTCTTAATATCATCAGGCGTAGTCCACTCCACCACCTTCGCGTTCCTGGTAGACCTTCCAAATACCACTCGTTCAACGAGGAGATCAACCGCCCGTCTCATGAAATCCTCATGTTTCGATCTTTCCGATAACGTTTTGAACAGACTCTCGTCTACTCTGTCCTCGACGGGAAGAATAAGATCAGAATCCGCCGGCATTGTGCACACTTCAATGTAATTCCTTTTTTGAAATTTAAAAAGAAGCGTGTATTTGTTTTTGTTTTTATTGTTGTTTATTGATTGCCTCCGGCCAGCCGCTTGCGAATCAGCCAGCCTTTGCGCATTCGTTCAGCGTGCAGCCTTCTTAAATACGAATGTACTACGTCAACACAAGTAAGGTTATTTTAACCGCTCTAGTAAATGGTAACTAAATGAATACACGCAGGTATCACAAATTAGGCTAAGTAATATTAAGTTCCTCTATAAACAAGTCAATGTTCAAATACTTTTGTGAAGTTAACAAAGTGGTATTCTGATGGATTAGCTTGACATCTTCTTAATGGATGCCTAAGGGCGATAGTTACGATTTTAGAAATGTTGTTTGTCGCTCTACTAGAGTGGCATAAATTACCTATTTTTATTTATTTAGTAGGAACTACAAAGTATTATGCCACTTTAGTTTTAAGTTACGTAATATACCGGTAAAGGGTTTTATTGTACGTTTTTTAATTCGTTTGGGTTTTTATTTTGTCTACATAAGCGGGAAATCGTAAGCTTTAAACGAAATATATTAACAACAACATGTATACTTATGTGAAAATACACTTTTGTAAATATAGCTCAAGCATAAGAAAAACTTAAGCATAGTTGAATTTTTTGAAAATTCTGCTTTTATTTCAATTAATTCTGGTTACAATAAAAAAAATGACAAAGCAGTGTAAATAGCTATTTTATAAATGAAGCAATAGCTACTTACGACTTAATAAAAATATTTACGATTGTAGATGACACCGCCAAAATGGTGAAAAACATAAAAACTGAAATTATCTGCTTAAAAACGAGTTCTTATACTACTTTTCACAATTAGTATGTTAAGGATGCACAATGATTCAATTTCACTTGCATTTCCTTTTTACCATCACCTTGACACTTAACTTTTTGTGAACACTTTGATTGCCTCGAACAATTTGACCTTTGACACTTGACTGCTCAGCTGCTCAATAAAACAAAACACGGTCGCCATAATTATCTTATTGATTATGGAATGAGTTCAGTAGATTAATTCGCTGTTTTAGCTACGTGAAATGGATATTTTACTGACGACCTCCGTGGTGGTGTGGAGTGAGTGGTTTATAACGTCAGGTTTCATGGTGTTGCCGACTCGAGAGCTCCGGGTTCGAATCCCGGTGCGGGCAGATGTTTGTGTGATGAATACGAGCATTTGTACTCCAGTCTTGGATATATAATATGTATTTATAAATATATATACTTATATATATACCTTATATGTATTATTCTATCCGTTACCCTAGCATCCCATAACACAAGCCTTATAATGTTTACTTTGGGGCCAGGCTAATTGGTGTGAGTGTTTGAAATATTTATTTATTTAAGAGGCAAGGCAACTAGTATCCCTAGAATAACGGAAATGGAAAGGAACTCAACCGGAATACTCTGAATTGATGATATTACCAAGAATTATTCTAAATCTCATATGGCAAAGACAACGGATTACCACGAAAACAAAAAATATTTAAATATTTTTTGTTTTTGTACGCCAAGGCAGGACGCATTTATTTTGTTTAAATAATTTTTATTTTTAAATTATTAAAATATTTAGAATCTTTAGTGTTTGGCATCCACTTGTCAGATATAGGACCCAGTTGAAAACCAACGTCAGTGCACACTGCACTGCACCTGACACAATGCTGAACTGTGCGCTTTTCAGTGCAGCTGCAGATACGGATATTACCTATCTGTCCCTTTTCGCTCTTTTGTTTATTAATAATTTTATCTATTTGTCTGTATCTGTTTACTGTGCTGAATAAACTAATTTGATTTGACATGCAAATCCTGTACTTGCTGTGCTATCCTGAAAGAACAAACTCAGCTTTTCCCGTGGAATCCGCGTGTGAAAAAATGGTTGCCTGTAAAGTCGGTTTTACGGGCGAAGATTTTACGTGACAACGTCTTTTTCTCGGTAGAATATTTATTGATATGAATATAATTAAATTGCACAATAGGAACAAGGAATTGAATGAAAATAAGAATTGCACAAATTTTAACTATAGAAATATATTTTGTTTACTAAAACATTGTACATGTAAACTTAAACTTAACACGAGAGACTCATCGTAACGTTACCGAGCGTTACACTTTTTCATAAGTGACTCCCAGCCGCAACCTAATTTAAGACGTTGTCACGTCAAAATAATTTTGAATACAAAGTTCAAATCCCAACGCGAATACCTCCGTGAAAGTTAGTTTGTTCTTACAGAATGCACTGGCTGGACCTTTACAAAATGTTTTTGTAATCACACCTTTTAATTTGCTACGATAAAAAAATCTTCTTGTAAACGAAAGAAAATACTTAAACAATGTTTTACTACAAAAAATTAAATTAGAAAACCAAAACAATTCGCTGTCCAGGCGAACCCTTGATTGATGTGACGAATTTCTTCTTTCTTTTAAGATGAAATTATTACATAGCTAATAAAAAAAAAATCAAACATTTTCCGCCTAGTAATGCGTTGGCATAACATTGACTAAAGTTAAACCTGGTTTAAAGCTAATGTTATCATTTTTGTTTGCTAAAAAGAAGATAATGACAGCGTTAGGTTTATAGCAAGACTAACTTTAGTCCGCTTATTGGAATAAGGAGAGGTGGTTAAATAAGTATAAGTCACAGAATTATTTCAGGTGATACAGCACCTAATTCCGATATTGACGACTTATAAGTATTAATGTTGCAGTTATCAAAGAGAATAAAATTTGACACATCCATGAAGTACTTAGTACGACGTTATAAATTTAATGAAAAGATTTCAGTTTCACTACCTACTAAAAAGTTTGTTTTTTGCAGAAATGAAAGCTCTTGCTTTCTTTGGACAACGTTAACTTTTCGAGATAAGTACTCACTAAATTGAAGCGTTTCAATATTCATTATGATAATTACAATAGGTACACTTTAGATTATTCGTCTTCTCTGTAAACTGCCGCGGCGAGTGAATGCGATGACCTTTTCGCTATCTAGCTTGTTCGAGAACTCTATAAGACCTATATAAAAAGAGGTAAATGATAAAACTGCTATAAGACTTTATTTGTAAAACCACTCCAATCGTAACAGTTTCAAGGAAAAGTGATAATTATAAAAAAACACAAGTACACACCTGTCGAAAGATTTAAATCTGATAACTTTACGCGCTAGAGTATAGCCCTGTAAACGATTACAGGCTACTTTTTGTTGTGAAAATAAAAAAAACCCGGCCAAGTGCGAGTCGGACTCGCGCACCGAGGGTTCCGTACAAACTCAATTCATTACCTCTACGCGTTCTTGAGAAGAGGCAGTAACGATAAAATTTTCAAAAATATTTTTTATTAAATGATGTCACTAAAAATTTACGGTTTTCGCATTTTTTTCTTTATTTGAATACAGATTTTACAGACGTTACTTCGTACCAAATTTCAAGATTCTAAGTTCACGGTAAGTACCCTGCAGGTTTATATTCCCGTGCAAGTTTCGAAAATTTGCGGCATAAACGGCTGTATCTTTTGATTGCTTTGGCTTAGAAGTTTGATTTTTTCACAGCTCCAAGGGACAGTAGACATGAGTATTAGATATGAATTTCATTTTGATACCTCCACGCGTTCCTGAGAAAAATGGTCTTGACAGAAGGATAGACGGACGGACGGACAACAAAGTGATCCTATAAGGGTTCCATTTTTTCCTTTTGAGGTACGGAACCCTAAAAATGACATCCAACCTATTATGAGGTACTTTTTATATTCCACGTGAACGACGTCGCGGGCACCCGCTAGTTTTATATTATACTCATAATCATCAGCCTATAAATGTCCCCACACTTTATTTTTTAGTGTGTATGCACTTCGCAGATGACCTTTACAGCGTCACTGGGTTAGGGGACGGCGAGATCCTAAAGCGATAACAATAGCCATAGCTATCCCGGTACGCGATTGAACCCCGCGTCTTCGCACTCTTCACATCACGCGGATGAAGTCGCGGGCGGCCGCTCGCTGGTAATGCAGAACATTGATTCTCTCAGGACCTGCGAATAAATTTCAAATTTTAATTATTTCTACCTGATAGCATTCTGTAAGGACAGCCTGTCATAATAGATGTAATAATTGGATTAATAAATAAATAGGGTGATCGAAAATCAGATGACAGATGATGCCCCTTTACCGATATTGCGTTGTGGAAAATAAACAAAAAGTTGTCCCGCCATTTTATCAATTGACATTGAATTGGCTAATTCCTCAATCAACTCTCCCTAGTTTTTAATAGCTTATTCATTTTATTAACTTCAAGTGCGTTTGAAAGACATCCAAATATCAAAACAAAATTAGAAATGATTAGGTAATGATGAAACATCTGACGGATTTGTAGCGGTTTTCACAATTTAACTCAATACATTTTTTAGCACGAAAAGAAATCTACATAATAACATCGAAGCGAAGCGAGCGAAGGCGGGTCCATACTCCATAGTTAGGTACATAAGTTTTATTGAAATATTCAAATCACGATGCATGCAATTACATAAAAGAATGAAGAGGTCGATAGTGTAAGTGTAAGCGCGTTCTTTCTTCTATAATATTTCATGCCTCGTAGTACTTCGGAGGCCATTTGGTCCCGGTCTGTAGTCGTTAGCACCGACTATTCCGCACTAAGCATCTATGGCATAGGCAATGCCTATGCCCCTGAAGTGCGGCATAGGCTTTGATGAAATCACGTAGATCCTGCAACAGGATGTGGGACTGTTGTAGGAACTTGCATTTAGATAAAATTCTTTAACTATTGCAGCAGTCTCCAGTAAGGAATCTAAACCATCCAGGTCTTAAATAGAAATCAAAAAACATTGACTCGGGACAATGACGTCGGTACCTAATATATACATATAAACAGTACTGAGTCATACCCCCCTAGCATGAGCATCATGATATGATATACAGGGTGTTTGGAAGATGAGTGCAAAGCTTTAAAGGAAAGCTAACAGAGATCATTTAGAAACATTTGAGCCATACTTGTCATAGACGAAGTCTGACCATTTTATTTTTAAGAATTTTTAACGATTTTAAAGAAAATACCTAAAAGT